TTCAGAGCATATCATAGATTGATTAAAACTAAGTTTTGAAACTGTTGCAATTAGTTCACATTTTGACGGAAAATTTGATAATTTGACTAGACTACAACTCTGTCTTCTTGGTGTGTATTTTAAGGCCAGTCTTTTGAGCTTCTGCATGATGCCCATTGTGATAGTTTCTCTTAAGCATCTTATTGCTTGTGTAATAGCGAGAACAGGACAATGTCATCTGCAAAATCCAGGTCCTCAAACTGTTTGGTGAAGGTCCACTGAATTCCGGTCTTAATGCCCTTTGTTGATGGCTTGTTGCCTGTATGATCCAGTCAATGACTATCAGGAATATAGTAGGCGAGAGGATGCAGCCCTATCTTACTCCTGTTTCCACATTGAAAGGATCTGTGAGTTTCTCATTATGGATGATATGACATGTAACATCATCCAACAGATTCCTGATTACACACATAAACTTTGTTGGAATTACATAATGCCACTTTTAATGTCCAGATAGTTGACTTATCCACATTGTAAAATTAAAGGCCTTATCCATGTTATCAAAGTCCATGAAGATTGAGTAAAGAAAACACTGCCATTAAATGGACTGTTCAATGATAATACTAGTATGCAGTGTGGCAATATGATCTTTGAATGATCTGTCTTGGCGGAACCCTGCTTGCTCTGATCTATGTTTCTTGTTCAATGTTCCTTTCATTCTTTCCAAGATTACCTTTGTTAGGATCTTACTGGCAATGGATAGATTGATAGATTGTGTATTGTTTAACGTCCATGTCGAAAATTTTTCACTCATATGGAGACGTCACCGTATGCCGGTGAAGGGCTTAAAATTTTGACCTTTACTCGGCACTCAGGGCCATTGAGCAGTGAGGGATCTTTATCGTGCCAACGCCTGCCGCTGACACGGGTCCTCTGTTTTTAAGGTTTCATCCGAAGGACCCGCAACTTTCACTTCAAAGTGACGAGTGCATGGCGAAGGAACAGTTGCTTCCCATTTTTTGCTAGCGCTCTCGAGCGCTAGCAACTACGTTAGTCCAAATTCCTTGAATACGCATGCTCGGCCGCCATGGCCGTGCATTCTGGGAAAACTGTGAAATCTACTACAGATAGACCGTACGATAACAATTTCGTTGTATCATGTTGCATGAAATAACTGTTTATTTATTGTGTAGCTTACACTTTAAAGATAACTTCATATTTATAATATTTCTAATTCTGGGGGGGGGGGGGGGTTTATTTGCTGACGGAAAAGCCCGAGTCATTATCTGATTGTTCTAAACAATGACAAGGAATATCTTGACAAAGATGACCCAAAGGACCAAGCTTCTTCACATGCGTTCCAAACTCTCTGGACTCTTTACACAACATACACTTTTTAACTCCCATGTATTTTCTTTGCTAAATTACCAAGAAATTCTCTTCTTTATATCAGCTCATACATGCAATGTCTCAATCGGCATCTTCTTCATATTATATAGAGCCCCCCCTCTCCAGTAAAGGTCATATATGTTCCGTTGCGCCAAAACTTCAATAGGTCATCCACCCCCCTTGTTTCTTTACCTATGTGTCTATAAAATCGCTTCACAAAACAATAATAACTTTATCACTCTCCAGCCTCGATAAAAATAAAGAATTCAGCAAAATAAATCACTTGATCACGGATCTTCCTTTCTGTGTATAAAAATTGCTACGGCGCTAGCTCACCTATCTTTTTAAAAGATAAACTTGTTATCGACTTTGGTCAGTCCCTGCCGAGATACCAACTCACGACCTCCCGATCACGGAGCGAGCGCTTTACCGACTGAGCTACCGTGAACGGTTGCAATGGATAGAAGCATGATGCCTAGCCAATATCCACACTACGACAGGCCCTCTTTCTTGGGTAGTTTAACCATGTATCTTGTTCTCCACGCATCTGGTACTTTTTCTTTTACCGATATCTTTTGGGGAGGGGGGTGTAACATCTCTGCTGACTTTGTTGGAATAGCTTTGAGTTCCCCAGGATGGATACCATCTGGACCAGCCGCTTTTCCATTTATCAGTGTCTTTATAGCTTTGAAGATTTATATTCTCGATGGTGGTCCTGCAAGCACATCGATGTGAAGTTCTTCTTTCATTGGTGGTACACTTACAAGACTGGGTGGTGGTGGCGGACTTAGAACTGCCTTAAAATATTCTACCCATCTGACTTTATATCCTACATCGCTAGTATAATTATTTTGCCTTGTTTGTCTCTCACTGGGGTGTTGGTTTTTACAATTCTTCCAGACAGTGTTCTGATTTATGACAGAGCTTTTTCATGTTGTTCTGTTTGGTTGCTTTTTTGCCTCTTCATTCATGTCATGGACGAACTATCTCTTGTCCTTCTTGGCCATCTTTTTTTTTACTTGTTTGTTGGCTTTTTGTTTTGTCCTCACATCTCGCATACTTCTTCTCCACTTACGCGTGAAGATGACATGTTCTATTTAATTTTCTGTCTTTCCATCCAGGGAATTCCAGGTTGTTTTGTGTTTCTCCTTGTGTGGAAAGATGGTACCTCCTATAATTAGGTCATTGAAAGTGCAGAAATTTGTATTAAAAAAAAAGTTCTATAAATCAAACATAATTTTACAGGATATTGAATAGACAAATACTCACACACCCTGATCAGTTGATATAACTTCTATGAAGATAAACTGTAATTTATTTGAAATTTCAAATGCTTCTAGGTAGCAGTGCTTTCGAAGCGCAGTATGGCGTGTCTTTTTATGATCAACCGATGATTCAAATAAAGGAATAAAAATATTACATTAAAGAATCATTTAATTTCATTATGTTCCTATTTTGAGATGGACATTTTAAATAAGGAACTTACATCAATCCAAGAATAATTTTAACATAAAATATTTATTAAAATGAGATTTAATTAATGTCATTGTTATTTAAATGATTTACGATTCAATGGTCATATCACTGGACGTGGTCCAGCTGATAGGCAGCTCGCCCCACAATCCAAAGGACCACTGTTCAAATACAACCATGGCCACACTTTTTTTTTTTTACCAAATATTATTTTGATAAATGTGTAATATAACCTTTATATATAAAATATATTAAAACTATTTCACCATATCACATATTCCCCCCGTTTGTCATTGCTGTTCACAGCAATGTTAATAATGTGTAAACAATATACATAAATGTTCATGAATAGAACCATCATAATAGAACATCAATATCATGATATACTTTTAAAAAAAATTTAAAAATCATTTAAAAATTGTCACAACCAATGTCTAATGTTAATACTGAGACCACGCTTTGCTAAGTGTTTCTCCCAGAGTGGCTCCAAGATTTGCAACAGCCTGACTTAGTTCTTGAAAGTTACTTTCACTTGTCACAGCTGTTTGTGTTCATACTGTCGAACGAGGTAAGTGATATGGGTTTGAATGTTTACCTGCGGTACTTCTGCTCGCACGTCTTAGCGGTACGGGAGTTTCTTGTTGTACAGGAATTTCTTGCGGCGAATGATGATGATTATCTCCGTTGTCTTGAAGAACATCCTCTGTCCGAAAATCTAGTGCTGCATGAAAGCTTTCGTCACTCTTTACAGAATCTGAATCAGAAATTGAGGTTTTATCTTCTGAATCACTCGACACTAATTCAAATCTCCCATCACAATTTTCATATATCTGCAAAATAAAATTCTTCGTTCCCAAGCTATCATTGCTTTTGTTGCTTCTGGTGACATCATTAAGGCAACCGCATGAGTACAAACATGGTCTTGTTCCTCATTTCCTGAGTAGGTGATGGTCTCTCCTGATGATAAGCAGACTAGTCCTCTTCCATTCCACATACTTCACTTGATGGTATATCTTTTTATCTCCTTTGCTATTTTGGCTGATTTTCCGACCTCATATAGGATTCTGATGTGTCAAGTCTCTTTCCTAGTTTGTGCCTTAATGGACAGTAGATTTGTCACAGAACTGGTTTCCTGTTGGCTTTTACATAAACAAGTCATGAGCTCTTCTTGGAATCCATCTACAATGTACCAGATCTTGGCATCGAACTTGTTGTGCGGTTTCTGTATAACGGGCTTTTTATAGGTTGGAGTTGTTTGCCCAATGCCAAATCCCATGGACTCGGAGAACCAGTGGTTTTTGTTGGATTTTTTCTTCCCCTAGTCATTGGTTCCAGTTATTTAATGGCGCCAGAGACTCGCCTTCCGCCACTGTTACTCGGGTACCGAAGCATTTCCAGAGTCACCAAAACGGGGCGGTATGGCATGTGACTTGCTGGCAGAATCTATTTGAGATGGTGGGGATTAACTCGAGGTTTTAATGATGACACCTAGTGACACTTAGTGGAATCCTCGAGACCCATACCAGGATTTGACCCCTTATCACATCAGTATGGGGTTTATCATGTTTATATCTCTCATTTGATTCGATACCAAGAGCATGCTATACGTATATTTGAACAAAGGTCAACACAATGGACTTGTCAGGAAATACTATATATCACTGAGTGGATTCTGACTGATATTTTTAGAGTTATTGTCTTTGGGTTGTTTTGTTCTTTTCGATGATGACGAGGGTGGCAAGGCGGGAGCGTAGCTCAGAAGAGAATAATATTAATATTATTGATTTCATCTTTGGTTACGAAAACCTAGAAAGGATTCCATGCACTACCTGTATGCTTTTCTGATCAAAGCCTGTGTATTTCTTTGATGTATTCCTTTATACAGTGATTCTTGATATTTCATCTCAACAAATCAGATATCATTGTTTATTCTATCATCGCAAGCCACATGTGGTTCGGAAACCATGCTGACATTTACAAAATCCACAGTGCCATGCATTGGTATGTGTAAAAGAACTCTGATCCGTATCCATTTGTTGTTAAGATATATAGAGTGGGACAGACGGACGGACAGACGCCAGAAAAGTGACCTCTAGTGTCGCTGTACTCTGCAGGCGACATCATCCCGGAGATACAGTTTCTGTGCATGAAGTTTTTAATTTTATCGAGAACAAAATCATTTCCTGCATGTAAATATTGGCGGCAAGTGTGAAGAGATCTAACGTTAGGAGTTTATGCTAAATAGTAAATATGCAATAAAACCATATCCATAGAAAGAAGACAGTCAACCAGTACGCACTTTATAGTAAGTTAAATGATTTCTCAATAATTGTTAAAATTCACAAGAGTCGCTGAGTCGGCAGGTTTATCTATAAAGCAACGTAAACAAAGCAGTGAGCTAAAACTGCCAATCTCCGATGGTTAATATTGATGAAGGTTGACACATACACCTTAGGAGGTACTTGATTTTTCGAGATTTATCTAACTGAAATGTAGCTTGATTTGGTTATTTTGAGATTTTTGTCTTATGTCAGAAAAAAAGAAAATTTTAATTTTTTCTTTCATACCAATGTCAGAGACAAAATATGATCTCATTTTCCTTTCTGAAAAAGAAATGAATAATGATTATCTTTCTATTCTCTAATTTTTTACCCAAACACTTCATTGCATTCCAGGGGCTAACAAATCCCATTGCCCAACAGGTCCGGCACAATCTCTTGATTAAGCTATATAGCTTGATTTAGCTATATAGCTTTATTAAGCTATTCAGAATAGCTTGATTAAGCTACTTTATTAGACTTTTTTCTCAAATGCTTTATTTTTTCAACATGTGCAAAAAGTCGCACCTTGGTGCAGTGGAAACATTAAACTTTGAACTCTTCTGAATACAATGCATGTAAAAATCACTCACCAAATTGCGTCTCCTTGATAGACTTTGTACTCAAAAGTTTAAAAGTTTTAGGGCTATTGATGAGTGACTACACAGTTAATTCTTGAATGAAATTATAAAGGAGGTCAATTATGGCCAACAGGATAATTCATTGGTATTAAACAGTTGAGCACAATGAGAAGCAATCATACTTACCCATGCCTCAGCACACGCAAAGTAGTGGACAGTTATTCAAACAATGGAAATTCATATTTTGCTTAAAAGTATTCAACAGCAGCAATGTTAGATCTTTCTATGATTTAGGTTGTATTTTTGATAGTCTATAGTACATATATGAATAGTCAAATACTTGCGACTTTTTGTTTTTTTCTTGCAAAAAATGTTTTTGTGAAAAACTGCATATCAATAGCTTTATCAAGCTATTTTGAACAGCTAAATTAAGCTATGTAGCTTTTTAAAGCTATTTAGCTTAATCAAGAGATTGTGCTGGACCTGCCCATTGCTTGAGGCTAGTGATTTTCAAAGGTTGGCAAGAGCAGTGTTTCCCCTTTATTTCAAAATAAAGGGTTTGAGATCAGTTGTAACAGGCTAGGGGCTGAGTTATATGAACATAATCTCGGTGGACCTTAAAACAAATGTTTATTTCAAAGTGGCATTTTTATCAATAGGAGATGTCAATATGGCTATAATAATTTCATGCATGATTTGGAGAATTTGGTCATATTGATTCATTTGTAATTTTTACAGGATTATGGGAGAAGAAATTTCCTTAACAGCCTCTAGTCTACCCACCAAACTGACTGATAGCCTTTATTTGTACCAGAAGAACAGAATCCTGTGTGACTGTTGTATACAGTGCAGCGATGGAGAAGTTTACGCCCATAAAATCATCCTGGCCATGTGGGGAATGTATGGATTCTACATTGACACCATCGACACAATTAAGGCTGTAAAATTCTCAATTGCAGATGTTAATAAATTTATGAAGTTCATTTATTCAGGGAATATTTCACTGACTTCAAGTGCAGCCTCAAGAATTGTTCAGTTTGGAAAACACATAGGTATAAATTTGCGTTGTATCACAAACTGTCATACTCCAGATTCTATAGAATCAGCTTTCTCAACCCTAAAATCATTTTCTCGTGTTGGATTTCAATATGATAGAGAGAAAAAGACCATTTACATGAAATCCTTGCCTGATTTTCAAAGCATTTTTACTAGCACAACAAATGTTAGATGTAGAGAGCCGATCAAAAAGACAAATCCAATATCTGGTAAAAGTAGAGAACCAAAAAAGAGGGCAAAGTCGATGTCTGACAGCAGTGAGGAGCCAAGTAAGAAGGCAAAGTCAGTGTCTAATAACAGTAAAGAACCTGTCAAGAGGGCAAAGCCAATATCTGGTAAAAGTAGGAAACCAGCTAAGAGAGCAAAAACAAAACATGGTAAAAGGAGGAAACCAGCCCAGGGGTCAAAGTCAGTGTCTGGTGACGGAAAGGAGCCTATCAATAGGGCAAAATCAATATCTGAAAACAGTGGTGAAACAACGAAGAGGGCAAAGTCGGTATCCGGTAACAATGAGGAACCTATAAAGAGGGCAAACTCAGTATCCAGTAACAGTGAGGAGTTGACTAAGAGGGCAAAGTCAGTATCCAGTAACAGTGAGGAGTTGACTAAGAGGGCAAACTCAGTATCCAGTAACAATGAGGAACTGACCAAGAGGGCAAACTCAGTATCCAGTAACAATGAGGAGTTGACTAAGAGGGCAAAGTCAGTATCCAGCAACAATGAGGAGTTGACCAAGAGGGCAAAGTCAGTATCCAGTAACAATGAGGAGTTGACCAAGAGGGCAAAGTCAGTATCCAGTAACAATGAGGAGTTGACTAAGAGGGCAAAGTCAGTATCCAGTAACAATGAGGAGCTAACTAAGAGGGCAAAGTCAGTATCCAGTAACAGTGAGGAACCTACAAAGAGGGCAAACTCCGTATCCAGTAACAGTGAGGAACCTACAAAGAGGGCAAAGTCAAAGCCAATCAAGAGGACAAAGTCAATGATTACAGAAAAAAGGGTTGAAAACTTGAAAGAGAGTTCACTTTGTCAGTCATCAGATGTCAGTTCTACAGTGCTCTTTGATGAAAACAAATCAGCTGTATTTCCAGTTTATACCACCGGTTACAGTGATGAACTTGGAAAGACAAATACCAGTATGTCTTATGCTGAAACAAAACCAGAGATTGTGATAGAAGTCAAAACTGAAAACTGTATAAACTTTGTCCTGAAGATGGAGGAACGGGAAAATGAGGACTAAGATTCGGAACCTTGTCTGGAAGTGTAGTGGGAAACTGCTAAAAATAGCTCAGTGAGGGGACAGGATTTATCCCATATGGAGAGAGCTGCAGCCAATTATTAATGCACAATTGTACCATATCTGAAAGACTGGTTACCATTAACAATATAAATGATAACTAAGTTTTATATGATTTTGACATTTTTATATTCTGCTACATTTTTAAAAAAATGTGAAGTTATAAGCTATATTTCTTTAATTGAGATCTTCATGAAAATGAGTTTATTATGAACTGTTTAGAAGCTAGACTTTTAAGTATTAAAAAGCATTTTATCCAAGCCATCATTAAAAGATTTTGTTTGCCCTCTCTCTCAACCATTCGACATTAAATCCTCCTGAGAATGATTTTTTTTTTTAATTCCAGAATTTGTTTATCCTGTCAACAACTATTTTGATTTCATTAATACCCTCTGTTTTAACATTAAGCATTAAATCTGATGTTGAAAGTTGTACCATTTTTAGCTCTAGTTGTCAGAGACCAGAAGAGCTTATGAGATAGTAATGCGTCCGTCGTTCGTCCATCTGTCTGTTTGTAAACAATTTTTCAAAATGCTACTCCTCCTACAGTTTTGGTCTGAATTCAACATAACTTGGCACACAAGTAGACTACACTAAGATACATAATTCTAGGTTTTTGATTTTGATGAACGGTGTTGCCATGGTTACTAAAAATAGAATTCCTGTGAAATACTTTCAAAATGCTACTCCACCTACACTTTTGGTCTGATTTCAAAATAACTTGGCACACAAGTAGACTACACTAAGATACATAATTCTGTTTATTGGCTTTTGATTTTGATGAAGGGTGTTGCCATGGTTACTAAAGAGATTTGAAATCTGAGCAATATTATCACCACCTGACCAGCATACCTAGGTCAAGATCAAAGGGTCAAAGATGTTGGTATTCAATGAAAGGTTCTATCACAAGAATTACAAATTTGAAGTTTGAAAGCCCTAGCTGTAACCCTTCAAAAGTTATATTCAAGGTTTTTAAAAATTAGGTCAAACTCCAAGGTCAAAGGGTCAAAGTTGTTGGTATCCAATGAATGGTCTTCTCACAAGGATTACATATGTGAAGTATGAAAGACCTTACCGTTCAAAAGTTATGGCAGAGGTTAAAAAATTTTTAGAGTACGTAAATTTTCAAGGTCAAAATATCAAAGAGTTAATGTTCAATGGAAAGTCTTGTCACAAAGAATACATAAAATTAGGCGAAGTATGAAATTTCTAGTATCTTTATCTGAAATATCTGACGTTTTTCAATTTTTTTTTTTTTTTTTTTTTTTTTTTACAAATTTGATATTTAACGTGTCAGGTTTTCCTGGCACATTAAATATTAAAATTCTGAAAAAAGCCTGGAAAACGTCAGATATTTTCGACTAGTATCTACCATTCAAAAGTTATGGCAAAAATGAAAGTTGGGATTTTTTATGTTAAAGTGTGTCAAACTCCAAGGTCAAAGCCAAAAGGTTTAATTTGGTTGTACCCAAAGAAAGGTCTTGTCACAAGGAATACACATGTGAAGTATGAAATTCATATCTCTACTAAATCAAAAGTTATGGGTAAGGTTGAAGTTTTTACAGACAGGCACATAGAAACGGGGAGGAGGGGGGGCTGCCCCGCCCAGTTTTTTTTTCCCAACAGTACTTTCACTATTGGAAATGTTCATTGAAAGCCCCCCCCACACACACACACTACAGTGAAGTGATATCAGGGGAATGTAGCATTGTATGCCAACAAAAAATTGATACTGAGAAATGCTGGCCCTAATCTCTGTTGAGATTCTGCTAGGCGAGATATTTGGATTTAGGCTTCAGTCCAAATATCTAGCCCGACAGAATCTCAACAGAGATAAAGTTCCGGTGCCCCCATCGATTTTGAAAGTTGGGAGGGGACAGCCCCCCTTCAAAATCGATGCCCCCCACCCCCACTACCACCACCACTGACTAAATAGGATTTTCGTGTATACTTGGGCAATTTTCCTTTTTTTTGTGCTTGTCAACTTTTTCAGGTAAGTACACAAAAAAACTGTATACCCGGACTCTTCCATTACTGGGGTATAAATATTACATACATATGTCATTGGCGGATCCAGAGGGGGGTTGGAACCCCACCCTTTATTTTTTGCCAAGTGGTGAGAGAGAGAAAGAGAGGATAAACGTTTGCCGAGAATAAATATTTGTACGTCTTACTTATTGAATAGATATATTCTCACACATTTAGTTTCCTCTACTATTCCTTCACTATTACTTTTTAATGAGAGGATGGTAGAAAATAGTCTACTTATTTTTATATATCTCAATATATCTCATATACGATAAATAACATGTGAGATTTAATTTTATATTTCCGCTATCTGGCCGTGTTGGCTATATATGTACCGTTTTTTAATCATATATATCTTTTGAAGGAACTAACCTGTAATGCTTTGTTTTAAACCCCACCCGCACCCCAACCCTAAAAAATTTTTCAAATTCTAAACCAGAATTCTTTGTACTCTTCGGAAATGCTGCAAATTTATTCAATTTCAAGGCTTCAGTACTGTAGTTTTTGAAACGTGTTTTTTTTCGGACTGGGGGGTACAAAGAAAAAAGGGACGTAAACAAACTTATTATTTACCACAACCTTAGATCTTTCCATACATGTGTGTGAATCTTTGCTTGAGAGTGTGTAAGGGTGTGGGAGGGGGTTAGAGGGACACAAGCCTGGAACCCCCCTTTCAAAAATGGCTGGATCCGCCCCTGCATTTACCCTAGCAGATCTGTAGCGTTTTGGTTTTATATATTTGTCTTTGACCATGGTCAAAGACAAATATATAAAACCATAACGCTACAGATCTGCAGCTACATTTACCCCCGAATCTTTGATTACGGGGGCATAAATATTACTTGGACACAATTCCGGAAATACGATTACTGTGCATGACGTTTTTAAATTTAGTGATCACATTTTGCTTCCTGTATGAATTCAACAGCGATTGCCGATTGATTTTGCTTGTTTTGTAGTGTCTTCAACAAAAGCTTTGTATAGAAGACAATTAATCCAAGAAAAATTCCTAATCAAACCGCATGATGACAGTGAGCAGAAGTACTGCGGTTGTCATCTTTTTGTGGGGACCAACGCAATCTCTTTATCTTTGAGAATTCAGAGAAATTTTGTAAGTATTTTCAATTGCTGAAATCAGAGACCTATATACTTAGTATATAGGTCCCTGCTGAAATTTAATTTTTTTTCAGTTATCTTTTACTTTCTAATAGCGAGCGCAGCGAGGCGGCGCGAAGCGCCGCTCGTGTAGCGAGCTCAATAGACTAACGTGTACGAACGGAGGAAATTCGGATTCAAATCTGCACATTGTTCCAAGAAATTTTTATGAGTCCACGTGAAAATATTCTCATATCCCAATAATCCTTTGCGGTGCATAGCAACATGGTGGCTAAAACATAGCAACAACTTACTTAAAAAAAATTACAAACAACGATTTAATGCAATCTCATGCCACAAAACTATCGTTTGCGTTCTAAGTCAACAGGACTTTTTATTTGACGTCATACTTTCGTCACTTAAACGGCTCGGGTATTTCCAATTTTGTCGGAAACTTCCGAAAAGTTCGGAATCTCGATCCCGATGCCTGGGAAGTGATTCTTTTTATTCTTTTCTTTTTTTTAATGAACTGAGGATAGGCAGTGCAAGTAAAAGCTGTGTAAGTTTTTTTGATAGTAAATAACTGCGCTCGCCCCAACGGTCGCATCGTAGAACATATTATACTGTGAAATCACTCATGGGGTTAAATTTTCGTTGTTTTCGAGGAATTGTTGTACACCATGAAATGTAAAATTTCTTGCAAATTACTATGCAGCATTTTTCTTTCTCCTTGAAATAAAATTCACACAAACCCATATTTTTTCCAAAATCCTCGATAATTTGACCCCACAAAAATATGTGATTTTACAGTATCTAGCAGTAAATTCATTGTTTAATTTATTTATTTTATTTTAATGTAGGATGTTTCCCTAGTTGCAAAAATAATTGGGTCAAGTTGTGGATGAATTCCAGACTGACAAACCACAAGATTAAGTTACAAATGAGTGTTGGTTTTTATGGTGTACTGTATCTTTAGTCTTCAGATTGTATAACCCAGGTAGGTAATAAACATGTCTAATTAATTTTTAAGTGTTTTAAATATATAGTAATATAAATGATTTGTAAAATATTTCACAGAGTGGTGTATGCTATTTTTTTTAAACAATTTAATAATTGAAAACATTCCAATGTGATGTTTTACAGGATTATGAGAGAGGAAATTTGCATTACAGCATCAAACCTATCCAACAAACTGACTGATGTCCTGTACCTTTATCAACAATATAGAATCCTGTGTGACTGTTGTATACAGTGCAGTGATGGAGAAGTTTATGCCCATAAAATCATCCTGGCCATGTGGGGAATGTATGGATTCTACATTGACACCATCGACACAATTCAGGCTTTAAAATTCTCAACTGCAGATGTTAATAACTTTATAAAGTTAATTTATTCCGGGAATAGTTCATTAAATTTAGATGCAACCTTAAGGGTTGCTGAGGTTGGAAAACTCATCGGTATTAAGTTTCAATGTATGTCAGATTCCCCAACTCAAGAAGAATCTTTAGAATCAGCTTTGTCTGCTTTAAAATCATCACCTGAATCAGGTGTTAAACTAAATGAGAAATACACCCTTTACATTAAATCCTTGCCTGATTATCAAAATAATTTTTCAACCACAATAAATGTTAGATGTAGGGAACCAATTAAGAAGATGATGCATTCAATGCCTTGTAACCATGATAACAGTACGGAAAGTATTACAGACAAAGGGGATAAAAACTTAGAGGAGTGTTTGCTCAGTCAGTCATCAAATGCCAGCTCCACCATACTGACTGATGAAAGCAAGTCAGCTGAATCTCTTACCACTGACAACAAAGTTGATTTTACATCTGAATATGAAAAGACAACAATCCATAGGGCTTATTCTGACAAACTGCCAGAGATAGTATCAATAATTCAAATAAAAACTGAAAACCTTGAATGGCCAGAGTCAGAAAACACAGAGGTAAAAACAGAACAGGTAGATTCTGCCGTGGAATCTAGGTCCTGGGGTTTAGAAGTATTGAAAACTGCCGACAATAATTCAGTGAGAGAGTTGAGTGTAGAACGGATGCAGGAATCTCTCACAGAGATCCAGGATAACATATCTAATAGGAAAAAAGAGAGTCAGTTAGACTTACCAGAAAATACCAGTCAGAATAAAAGGTTAATAGAATGTAGGCGATGTCTCAAACAAGATAGACCTCCTTTTATGTATGCTGATACAGCAGAGGGGTTACAAGAGTTTAACAGGCATGCTATACAGTTACACCCCTTGGCTTATATTGAGAATGTAAACTGTGAAATTTGTGGAGCATCTTACAAACACTGCCAGGCTGATAGGTATATGGAACATTTAGTCAAGACACATGGTGTAGAATATGACTCAACTGTCTACCAAAAGAAAACATGTGACGTATGTTATCTGTATCACTGTACTCTTTGATGTTTAAACATTATTCGCTTATTAATCACATAGCAAAAATATACTGAAAGGAAAAAGAAATATATTCAATAATTTTTTGACCGCATGACCAAAAATCACGAAAATTTGTCAAATTTAGTTACTATGCATCAAAATTAGTGTTCAGAATTACTCAACCGTAAAATGTTTGGCATCACATAGGGAAAACGCTGAAAACCCCAAAACACGTGTAATTTGATGACAACGAGTTTGACAACAAATTTTATTGCACTATTTGATGTACATGAGGTACTGTAAATCACATTTTATTTGCGAGAACTTTATTTTCGCGTAATTACACGAGACGGTGTACTTGCGAAAATTTAATTCTCGCTTATAATAGTATTCCTTAAGAATATATAAAGCAATAACCACAATTCGCGAAAATTTTGTCTCGCTAATCAAGAGTCAATGACTATCTCGCATAAATAAGGTGTCGCGAAAATTTAGTGATCTACAGTATACTGTATACAGGGTTATTTTCGCCCCGTGTTATTTTCGCACTTTTGAACTTATGAACAATAATGCCCTGTTTTAGATTTGCCCAATCATAGTTCTGTTTAAGAAATTATGAGGTGTAATTTGAATTCGCCCCATTTTAAATTCGCCCAATCAAGGAGAGGGCGAAAGGGGCGAAAATAAAACGGGGGCGAAAATTTCCCGGTATACAGTACACATTGTTTTTCAATATTTAGAGACGATATGAATTTCTTGAAATCTTGGTACAGTTTACGGAAGTTCCACAGGGTATGGTTTTTGAATTGCATATTTAATGAAAAAGGCAACAAAGGGTAACTAAGCAGTTTCTTGTAAATTTTCCCCCATAAAACTTGTAACCCGTTGTCAGAAAGGCCTGAAATGGTTTTCGATCAACCGTGATGATGACGCTAACGCGAAACTGAGTCATGTTACGAGTGGGTTATTCGTCCTGCCATCTCTTAAATCGCCACCTTACTACCCCCAAAACCACCTTTTATACAGAAGACTATCATAATCATTACATTCACATGCAAAGTGAAAGAAAACAATGCCGCAATTTGGTTTTTTTGAGCCGGTCAACTAGCTGTTGTGTTCCTGTCACTGGCGCATGCGCGTGTCATATGACTAATTTTTTGGTGTGGTTACTCATGCCCAATATAGCCAGGGATTGAAAGATAAACACTCTGGTGAATTCCATGCAAAGGAGAAATAAAGTTCATGACAGATGCATGGGAGAGACATCGAATGTAATGAGAGATTTTGATTTTCACTTTTTGGGGGTATCGTCATATGAGCTACAACAACTCATTAATTATTAAACAAAATCAAATGGGATTTTGGTTATATTTCTCTGAAAGATGATTTTAAATGTTAGCTAGGAATACTGAAAAAAAATAAAAGAAAAATGAATTTAATTCACCTCAAAAGTTTACCCTGCATTTCTTTTTCCTTTCAGTATATGTTCAAATTCATTATTCAATATTATTATTTGAATGAAATCTAAATTTCAGTGACATATTGAATATTTTATAATCTTTGTTTCAGTGTAACCCTTGTGTTTTGTGTTGTAGAATTGTGAATACTGGACATTGTGTCGTGCTAAATACAAGACCCATCAGAAAAATGTGCATTTGAGGAAACTTAGCATCTGTGATGTGTGTGGAGAGGCATTCAAAGACATCAAACAGCACAGAGAGACGCATAAGGACCGACCCAGAATACCGTGTGAAATCTGCGGGAACACCTTTATCAGTCTTACTTCTATCAAGGTCTTTATTAATTGATTTAACTCTTTGACTTGGCTCTCTAATGACAAATTGTGAGAAAATTTATTCATGAATGCCAGAATGGGCGGATGAAAAAGGGAATTTATATGTATTTCAGCACCATAAAAATAAAAGCAAGAAATTTTATTTTGCTAGTGATGATTCTCGCGAAATTACACAATATTCCACAATAATAATTTCCTCGTGTTTAATTAGGAATTTACTGTATCTTGAACTCTCTCATATTTTAATTTTTTCCTCTTTATCCCACCAACTTCAAGATAAGCAGGTTTGACTGTACCTAGAAAAACTTTCTAAATTTCAACCTAACTTTCTTTGCAGAATCATATTGAAAGAGTGCATGAAAAGAAATACAAATCAGTAGGATTCTGCGCGTATTGTAATGAGAACTTCATAGAGCGGTACAAATATTTCAAACATATGTTTACAGAGCACAACGAGATTCCAAAAGGAATGGAGAAGTAAGTCTGGGATGTCTCAGCTATAACTTAATGATCACACTGCCTTCTATTTTTGGTATAAGTGTTAGTTACTTAATGATACTGCCTGCTATTTTAGGTATCAGTGTTCCCAGTGCGACTTTGTGACTTACCAGATGGGTCTGCTGAGAACTCATGAGTTGAAACACAAGGAGCTTAAAGGTATAGTATAAAATGTAGTTAACGTTATAGAATATTATTAAATGCCGATTTAGTTTATAAATAGCTATAACTGTATAATTTTGTAATGTCACTATGTTGATTGCTGGGATTTGGTGATACACTCCCATCAAGTTAAGATATTCCTTAGTGATGAATCAATTTTTCTGTGATGTTGGAATGTTTAAAACATTTCCTGTGGCGGTGATTTCTTTTGATAATTTTTTAACTCACCTGAGCTGAAAGCTTCAGTGAGCTTTTCTGATCACCTGTTATCCATTGTCCCACCATCGATCCATCTGTTCGGCCATCTGTATGTCTGTCTGTGTGTAAACTTTTCACATTTTTAACTTCTGAAGAACCACTGGGCCAATTTTAACCTAACTTAATACAAAACATCCATGGATGAAGGGGAGTTTAAATAAAGAACCAAGACATTTTGCAAGGAGACAAAAATAGGGTGTGTTCATTAAATAATCTTATTCTCAAGAACCACTAGGCCAGAAAAGCTTAAACTTATGCGGAAGCATCCTAAGATTATGTAGATTTTAAATTTTCAAATCCTGACTCCCAGGGATAGGGCGAGCCACAATAAGGAAACCAAGTTTTACATTAAAATATATAGGAAAAATCTTCTCAAGAACCAATGGACCAGGAAAGCTGAAACTTATGTGGAAACATCCTGGGATAGAGTAGATTCTATATTGTTCAAATCATGATCCCCCCCACCCCCTTCAGGGTAGGACTGGACCACAATAGACAAATTTCACATTCCTAAGACTTATCTTCCATTGTCGGCGTAAAGTTTATTTTTCCCACTTTGTCCTTTGGAAGTTACCTGTTAATATTTTTCATCTTCAAATGTTATCAGAACAATTCGATCTGCACCTGTATTGACCCCAGATGTGAAAGACTTATGCTGGTTGACCCCAGATGTTAAAATTGTCTAAAGGGAATCTGAAGTTTTTCATTGAAATATATATAGGAAAAATATTCTTCTCAAGAACCACTGGGTCAGAAAAGCTGAAACTCATGTGGAAACAGCCTGGGTCTTTGGTTCTCAAAAAACAATAGCTTTAGTCTAGAAAACCTGGAAGCAAGTAATTAAACTTAAAGCATGGTACATGAGCAATGGTGCCTCTTTCAAAATTGTGAATTTAGTGGCCTGTGGTTTAAAATATGAACCAAGTTCAATTGTTGGAAAGCATTACATGATACTCAGGTGACTTGTAAAGCCTGTAGGCCTCGTTCATATTTACATTGGATTTGATAATACTGTTTTAGATATTTTTTAAAAAGTAAAAGAATTTTGTCTTTTTAGGAATGGAAATTGAACGAAACTACAAATGTCATGAGTGTGGAAAAGCATTTGTTACCAAAGTTAAACGCAATAACCACTTAAAGCTGCACCATGGTAAAAAAATTTAAAATTAACAATATGTCTTTCTTTGCATAAGTACCATACGAAATAATTAACATTTGTAATACAAGGATAATGCTCAAAATATTGAATATTAGAAATGCTCAGCTATCTCCAGTCCATGTGAAAGATGAATGTTGTGTATTCTTCAGTATAAATTGGATGTAAGGAAAGTGATAAACTCTAAATCGACGTTAACTAAGGACGGAGAGCCAGTTAAATTGTTAACATGGTGGAAGTGTTGAGGGTGAACATTGGTGTGCTCTGTTTTATATTAGTGTTGAGGTTGAACGTTGGTGTATTTTATGTTTCAGTCGGGACCCCTATGCTACAGTGTCACTATGACGGATGTAATAAAGTGTTTAAGAGAAAACAATTGTATCAGATCCATATCAGAGATGTCCACCAGGTAAGCATATCACAACACGCACACAGACACACCCTCTCGCACGCATTACCTCAAATCTGATATCTCAAATACATACCAGGGTACATTCTGTAGATTACTAATTGTATGCGAGGAAATAATTTCTTAATTTCGCGAGAAGCATAACTTGCAAAATGAAGTGATTCGCTTTTATTTTTATGGTCCTAAAATTCGTATAAATTCTCTGGACCAATCGTTCATTTGCGAATAATTATTCTCGTGATTTGACTTTAAAGAGTCATAAGTATCATACACACAAGAAATAAGGAATTTACAGTAGGTCAATTGGGATTGATACTGCCTTTTATGAGTTTTAACTTCAATTTCTCAAATCCACTGATATCTTGAAGGATTTGTCCAGTTGGGTTTGGGGAAATGTGGTTGCTTTGTAAAAGAAAATAAAGTCAAACCTTAGCTACCTCCTGTATTTAGCGATTTCCTATCACATGCAATCGTTAAATTTAAGCCCAAGAATCTTTTTTAGGTCACCTGAGTCACTCAGGTGACCTATTGCTATCTGTTTTCGTCTGTCGTCGTCTGTCGTGTGTTAACATTTGAACATTTTCAGCTTCCTCTCTGAAACCACCGAACCAATTTCAAGCAAATTTGGTATACAGCGTCTATGGGTGAAGGGGATAAAAAATTATGAATTTTATGGTCCCCGCCCCCCTGGGGCCTGAGGGGTGGGGCCAAAACCACTAAAATTAATGAAATATTTAAAAATCTTCTTCTTTACTCCTGGACACCAAGCAGGCAAAATGTTGGCATGAATGTAATGAGCATTGAATCCTCTACCAAAATTGTGAAATTCATTGCCCCAGGGTTGGGGGTTCTAGTGCTAGGCTATATAAATTATATAGTGAAAATGCATCATTTCTTTGAAAATCTTCTTCTCTGCTCCTGGGTATTAAATAAACCAACTAAGTACATACATATGATGAGCAAGAGTGCCTCTTCCAAAAATCCATAAATTGGAAATAAATTAATGCTTTGAAATCTGCTTTTCAGTTATAATCAACCATTTTATGATAAAATTTCCAAAATTTTGAAATATGTGCACATATGTGGCCCCAGGGTCAGTGGTTCCTTTAGGGTGGGGTGCACAACTGGTTCGAAGTGTAAGTCTATTTTCTCTTTGTTACTCTGTTTTGCCTCTGGGTATTAAGTAAATAGAGTAAGACACAAACCAAATTCAATTGTTGGAAAGTAGTTGATACTCAGGTGACCTATAAGGCCCATCGGCCTCTTGTTTATATTTTGCCTGCATTCAGTGACTCCCTGTTTGACCTGACACTATCATTACCTTTCTAGAATTTGAATGAATAAGTCAATATATGGAGGTTTGACTTTTAAGTATGCTATTTATTTGATATATTGCCTATATATAGAATTATTACAGTTGTATTTAGTAATTTAAGAATATTATGAAATCATTTTAATTCATGGGGGTCAATGTTCCTGGGTAAGCATAATTTTACCTGTTCGTGGGAACGTAATTTTGTGGGTTACTCATAAAAAGGATGGTTCAATGAATCAATATGTTACCAAAATAAAGTTTGTGGGGATGTAAATTCGTGGTAAGGGTGACCCATGAAATCCAGAAACATGGTCCCCCACGAACAATGATGATTGTACAATTGGTATTTCTGATACATGTACACGAAGATTTTTTTCAAATGGTTATTCATATTTTTTTCAGACTGGAAAGATATATCATTGTCATGCTTGCCCTTACAAGTGTAATCGGCAAGGAAATCTAGTGAAACACATTCGCAGCATCCACAAAGAAGAGGTCTCTACTCGTGCTTCTCGACGAAAGGAGGCCATGTTGTCAGGGAAAGGGTACCATGAAGCTGTTGGTCAAACTCTGAGACAGGTTCAGGGCCCAAGAAAGAGCAGCGAGGGGGAAAGTTCTCTCTCAGAACAGAGACATTGGACTCTTATTAGAGAAGGAGTTAACTCTGATCAGGAGGAAAGTTCAACCTCATCAGGGGACAGTAGGGAAAATGTTTATCATGAGGAGGGAGACAGCAGGGAGTCAGTTCACTCTGAGCAGGGGGATTCACTTTGAGAAGGGGGACAGTTCTTTCTGAGCAGGGATAGTTCACTCTGACTAGGGGGAAATTCACTATGAACAAGGGGACAGTTCACACTGATGGGGGGGGGGGTTGTATAGTTCACTCTCAGCAGGAGGATAGTTTACTCAGAACAAGGGGACAGTTAACTCTTAGCAGGAAAATAATTCACACTGAAGGTAGGCAACTCACTCTAATCCAGGGGGGTTGGAGGTTGGGGGGGGGGGGGGGGGTAGTTGTAGTTAAGTTGGAGTGTTGTAGTTAAGTTGGAGTAAAAGGTAGTTCACTCTTAGTAGGGGACTTTTCCCTCTGAGCAGGGGATAGTTCTCTTTGAGTAGGGGATAGTTCACTCTAAGTAGGGATAGTTCACTCTGAGCAGGGATGGTTCACTCTGAGCAGGGGATAGTTCACTCAGAGCAGGGATACTTCACTCTGAGTAGGGATAGTTCACTCTGAGCAGGGGATATTTCACTCTGAGCAGGGGGCAGTTTAATTTGAAATGGGATAGTTCACTATGAGTAGGGTGTAGTTCACTATGAGCAGGGGGGGGGTCACTCTGAGTATGAGGCAGTTCATTTTATGCAGGGGGTAGTTCACTCTGTGACTTTTTACAATTATCAGGGAATAATTTACTTTGAGTAGGAGGCAGTTCTTTTTTAGCAGGGGTAGTTCACTCTAAACAAGGGGGCAGTTCACCATGAGCAGGGGGAGGACCACTATGAGAATTAAAATTATTCTGATCAGAATGTTTTCATAGTCAATAGTATATGTAGGACTTAAGAGTTGCATTTAATGAGATCATTGAATGAAAATACTGTGTCCAATCTTTATATTCTATTGAGTTGCTGAAATATTTTTAGAGCCAATCTCTAGACAGCTCATTATACCCCCCGCTTGAAAAGCGGGAGGGTATATAGTAATCGTTAATTCCGTCCGTCCGCCCGTCTGTCTGTTACGCTTTCGGGTACTCATCTCTTATCCGCAACTTCTCTCATACCACTGAGTGAAATTTAATCAAACTTTCACAGAATCTTTATTACATATTGCCATTGTGCACCTCCTATTTTACTTTTTGATCTGACACATATTTTGGGTTTCCCGGCCATGGCAAAACATGGACTTTTTCATCAGTTATAACCAAATGGGAGGGCGGGGGGTATTATTTAGTGAGCTCATTGCTCAAAGTACCTCTAGTTTTCATGTTACACCTTGTAAGGACTCAAAAGCAGTCACTGGAGAATGGATACTGTAAAGAGTATGATCCAGGGAATGCATTACTCAGTTTTAAGATTAGGTGGGGTGTTACTGGATACATTATAAGAAATGAGATGTATCGTTTTTGGAAGAATGTTCATTTTTTATGCTTTTGTTTGAATAAAAGTACATTTTGGAATTTGAAAGTTGTTGTTGTCTTTAAGCATTTCAGCCTGTTAGCAAATCTAAAAAGCTTCTTTTTTTTTTACCTTTTTGAAAAATGCCTTTAGTGTCAGAATTTTGTTTTTTGATTAAGTGCATATAGTTAAGTGCTAAGTTCCCTTTAGTGCAAGCATTTTGAGGGTATTGCATAAGCATTTGCAAGTAACAAGATATATTTTGAAATGCTAATGGATACAGCTGACAATCAGTACTATTTGAATTTTTTAGTTTAATTGTAAATAAAATTATTATAAATTCTTGGTATAGACAAAAAATGAAGGCGACGGGATGCTTCCAAAATATCATTTCACATCAGTGGAACTGAATTTTATTAATGAAACTTAAGATTTTCTTCCTTTGTAAGTTTTATATCTGTGTATTGACCTACATGTATAGCTATCTTGCTATCTTGAAAACGGGGGGGGGGGGGGGGTGTTGAAACTATGATATGGTCTTCTATAATCTATATTTAAAAAGACTTTTTTGAGACAGATATGAAAACAACATTGGCGTCGGAAGAAAATTAGAAGGGGGGGCTAAGGATAGAAAAAAAAATTTAGAACCCCCCCCAAAAAAAAAGTGGGTGGGGGCTAAGCACCCCCCCTCCCCTCAGCTCCTAGTTCCGACGCTTATAAATAAAATGTGCATACTAGGAATATATCATATACGCTGCTGACCATCTATTCCATTTATGCGAAAACCACTTTGGTACATTATAGAAAGGATTAAAACAATAAAGTTTTGAAAAAGAGTCTGTTACAGAGAAATTTTAAGAAAAACGCTGTTTTCCTGTTTCCAGGGTAACAATAGGCATTAAGAAATTTTTGAATTTTATTAAGTGCCTAATTATAATTTCTTTATATTTTCATCACAATTGTCCAAGCCACCTCGGAAATCTGTGTGAATATTATTTTTTTCTGTTTATTTCATTTCTATTGCAACTGTTTGCAAAAGATTCTGATTTTTAAAATAGAAAATACTTTGACAAAATGTAAAGAACAATTCATACTAGTTTTAAAAAAGAATTGATTGAGCAGTTCGTGAGAATATCAAAGTTTAGCAATTTTTACATTTCTTCTGTTTCCATGGTAGCTGCAGATCTGTAGCTCTCCGAAAAAAATTTATTGATAGACCGGACTATCAATATTTTTTTTTTCGGAGAGCTACAGATCTGCAGCTATTTCCATGGCAGCGATGGATGATTTGAAAATTCTAAATGCAATTTCCAAAGCTACAATTTCTGATTATAATTTCTATGAAGATTCATTACGATTGTTTGATAGAACACTTCTGGACAAATTCTTCACTTTTCGTACGTTTCCATGGCAACGGCAGCCATGTTGAAACTGATTTTTCATCCACATATATACTGCGCTGTATCACGTTTTATGAAAAGTTCCAGAAACAAATTTATCCCAGTCATCTTCGAAAAAGTTTTCGGAAAACGTTTTCATGCGTACAATGACAACATGTCCTGCGACTTCGTTGGTATGACATTATAATAAACAGAAGAAAATCAATATATAGGTCTTTCCACAGAAAGATGGAAAAACCTAATAAAGAAATGAACAAACAAAAACAAAGGGAATTATAAAGAACAATTTCCATCATGTTTAAAAAAACGGCTGTGTTTTATTTCGTTTTAATTTTGATATGCGCTGCATTAACATGGGGAACTTGACTAATTTAAAAAAAAAAGGGGGGAGGGGGGGGTCAACCGGCTTTTTGATGGCTGCACATTTTCATATTATCAACAGTAAAACACTGTGACATCAAAATGTATGTAAAGCGTTCGTTGGATGTAAATGTTTGGTTTTCATATTATCTGCTATCTTAGCTTAAATAAATATATTAAAGCAACAACAACTAGAAATATTTATGACTTGTACTGATATACACTATCCCGGAAATACGATTGCCGTGCATAAAGTTTCTAAATTTAGTGTTAACAATAATGCTTCCTGTATGAATTCGATGGTAGGAGTCTGTGGAGATCGAACGATTGGATTTGGACTCATTTGAGTCAATGGAGCTGAGGTAATTTCGACGATTCTTGGCTTTATTTGATGTATCCTAATGTCTCTTTGATATTAAAACCATTTTTTAATGTAGTCCAATATGGATTGTTATTGTATCTAGTCAGCTTTCATCGTTAGGGCGTTTTTTGTGTCTGTTTTGTCTGAAAATTTTTTATATAACCTTCAATATAATTTTTTAACCATTATGTAAGAATGTAGCATCTAAATCAGCTTTTTTTTTTTGAAATCAGGGCAGTACAACTCCTTAGGATCTCCGTAATGGTGCAGCTGCGGGAGGGATTCGCTAGTTAAGAGACAGTAGTGTTTCAGAATTTGAGGATTTTTTCTGGTAGATTATCGACAACTAATCTTAACAGACACAAAAATTTTATAACATTCATTTTTTATCGGAAATAATTGAACATTTCTCATGTTTCTTTTTTTATCATTAGCCTTTGGGCCTTAATTTTGTTTTGTGTTATTAATAAGAACTACAGTAAAGAACACTTAGGCCAATATTTCAGTTTTAATGAATATGGTAATTTTCTACAATTATTAAAGGAAAGGATAACACTTGTTTAAATATCAAAGAAAATTAATTTTTTAATAGTACATGTATCTTGGCGCTACCGGTTTTCGATAGTGTAAAACTTTTGTTAAAAATTTAATCTAGGCATCCATGTTTTTCTCACCTCAATTATTTATGTATTATTAGTCATCAATAAATAAATATATTCAGACATTTATTTGTTTTTGAAATCAAGAATTTCAGTACAAGAAAACTTTCTTTGGATCAGCCATAATCCGACATTGTTTTGAATGAAACAGTCACAATATATATTCGATTATACAGAAAGTATGGTGCAAAGTACATATGTCAGTGAACCGTGCGCGCATCAAATTATGTTATTTTGTGTGGGTTTTTGTTTTCTTTTATTTGTTTTTTTCATTTTTTCGTACTGGATTTTTTGGTCATGTTTTCAACTATAATCTTAACAACAAATAAAATATACTTAATTATAACATTCAAATTTTTTATTTTTTGGTTAACATTTAATTTTATAAAAAACACTTGAAAAAATTTCAAAGCCAGGATTTTTAAAAGTCTGCTTTTCAAAGCATTATCCATAGCCTTTGGTCTATAATAATTCAACAAGTTGTCAACCTGTAAATTTCCCATTTTGACAATGGAAAATACACTACAAAAATAATGAACAATAAATTTAACAGAAACAAAACCTAAAGCATTAAAAGATGTCAAAATTTAAAATAAAATACCCGATAACCTCCATTTTATTTTTTAAGGGAAGTTTGCCCAAAATTTTTTCTATTTTTAAGCCATAACACAGAGCTTTTTTTAGATAGATAACATTTTTTAACATCAATTTGTTGTTTTCAGTACCTTAGGAGATAGGATTTTACAGTGAATTTTTTGACATTATGAGAAAAGGGCGTAATTTGAATAGATAAAAAGAAAAAAAAATCTTACCTCTCTAAATGGCATAATTTTACAAATCTGTTTGGTTTCACTTTTTTCATTGGTGGTAATTTTGGGATACCATGTTGCAAAAAATTACGAAAGTTTTTCTGATTTATTGTTAAAAACATTACCCTATCGAAATTAGAATACTATCGAAAATAGGTTACGTCACACTATATTATATAAATATTGCATGTAGTTGAGTGTAACATTGAAAATTTTCAGTTTTGTAAATAATTGTCAACCGTATATGAACGCAGGCCAAGGTTGACAATAGTTTTAATGAGGGGTGAAAATTTTCTGTTACACTCAAATACATGTTATATTTATTACATTATTTGAATGTTTTATACAAATACATATTATGAGTGAACCGTGCGCGCATAACATTTATATGTTTCATTTTTTTAATAACATTTAAAATGTCGTCAAAACTATGTTGACTGTTGCTAACGCAGGAGGGCAATTCATTATTCAAGGTTTTAGTAGTGTTTTTTCATTAAATTTTAAAACTTCACGAATCAGATTCAAGTATTTTACATGAAAGTATAATATATAAAATTATGAAACTGATAACTTGCATAGACAATTATATGTTTCATTTTTTTTAATAACATTTAAAATGTTTATAATTAAACTATATTGATCGGTTTAACACATTGAAAATTTTGATGAAAGGTTTTAATTTTTAAAAGATGATAATTTTCATTAAAATTTTATTCCTATATATTAGGAAAAAATTAAAGTAAAAGTTCAACAAGTTGTCTACCTTCATAAATGTTCACATTTGAATGGGTGTGCACAATAAAAATAACACTACTTCTTTTGAATTCCTTATATATGATTAAAAAAAGGGTAGCATAGTGTTTAACTTCTGACTGGCCCCTTAATATTTAAACAATCAAAAAATAATACATAAAATGTGAGTGGAGAGTAGAAAATATCGTTTCATATGAGAACAGAGGAAATTCAGGTTAAAAGACGATTTTTTTAAGTGGTGCTCTTAATGGATATATTTAGTCATCAATTCTTTTGCTGCCTATATGAATTATGTCTGATGGAAGGGACTATTATTTAGATTAAGCCATAATTATTATTTTCTAAGCATGTTTACGAATTTTTCACTGACTCAGTTACCAAAGGTTAAATTACAAGCACCGTTTAGTACAGACGACGGTCAGGAACTTGTGTGCACATGGAAAATGTATAAAAAATAATCGAAGTGCCATCTTTGTACAAGAGAAAAAATGTGCAAAACACGAAAAAAATACAAAAATTGTTAAGATTTAGCATTATGTTTAAAGTATATATATATATATATATAGCGACAATCGATTTTGCTGTTATGCTATCGATTGTTGGCATCGCCAAGCTTCCAACGACGATTTTTCGATCGTCGGCGACTATCGCTGAATCACTAAGAGACAGGTCTAGTTTTACCTGTTTTAAATTTATCTTAATATCAGATCTCTACTCGGTTGACAATGGTTTTCTTGGGGTGAAAATTTTCAATGTTACACTCAACTACATGCAATATTTATTATATCATACTGAATGTTTTATACAAATACATATAACAGTGAACCATGCGAGCATAAATTCTGCGCAGTCGCTATTTTTTGGAATATTACCCGTCATCAAGCAATGTTGACTGTTGCTACGCTGGAGGGCGTGGCTTCATTATTCAGCGGGTAATAGTGTTTTTAACAAATTTTTCTCGACCAATCAGATTCAACTAATTTACATGATTACAAAATGGTATATGCTACTTTAAACAATATAATAATATGAAAACATTCCATGGCATGATTCTATTTTGACCTTTAAATAGTAAATCATATTTACTTTCCAAATGATTGAAACATGTAAACATTGGTTAAAATGTGAAGCCATACAGGGCATGCAGGATTTGATTGTAATTTTATATTTTACAGGATAATGGGAGAAGAAATTTCATTAACAGCCTCAAATCTATCCACCAAACTGACCAGTGTCATGTATCTATACCAGAAGAATAGAATCCTGTGTGACTGTTGTATACAGTGCAGCGATGGAGAAGTTTACGCCCATAAAATCATCCTAGCCATGTGGGGAATGTATGGATTCTACATTGACACCATCAACACAATTAAGGCTTTAAAATTCTCAACTGCAGATGTTAATAACTTTATAAAGTTAATTTATTCAGGGAAAAGTTCATTGAATTTAGTTGCAGCAATTAGAGTTGCTCAGATTGGAAAACTCATGGGTATTAATTTACTACGTATGTCAGACTCCCTGACTCAACAAAAATCTTTAGAATCAGCTTTATCGGCCCTTAAATCTTCCTCTGAATCAGATGTGAAACTAGATGACAAATACACCTTCTGCATTAAATCAATGCCTGATTATCAAAGGAATTTTTCTACCACAACAAATGTTAGATGTAGAGAGCCAAGTACATCCAAACATTCAATGCCTGGTAACAGTTTTAACAGTATTACAGACAAATGGGATAAAAATTTAGAGGAGTGTTTGCTTAGTCAGTCATCAGATGTCGGCTCTGACACACTGATTAATAATAACAAGTCAGCTGAATCTCCTACCACTGACAACAAAGTTGATGATACATCTGAATATGAAAAAACAACAGGCTACAGGACTTATTCTGACAAACCACCAGAGATAATACCAGTAAAACAAGTAAACACAGAAAACCTAGTTTGCCCAGAGTCAGAAAACACAGAGGTATTAACAGAACAGGAAGATTGTGTCATGGAGTCGGGGTCTGAGAGTGTAGAAACATCAAAAATGGCCGAAAATAATTCAGTCAGAGTGTGGAGTGTAGAAACATCGGAAACTGCTGACATATCCGACAATAATTCAGTGGGAGAGTGGAGTGTAGAAACATCGAAAACTGCTGAAAATAATTCAGTCAGAGAGTGGAGTGTAGAAACATCGAAAACTGCTGACATTTCCGACAATAATTCAGTGAGAGAGTGGAGTGTAGAACCGATGCAGGAATTTCATACAGAGGGCCAGAATAACATATCTAAAAGAAAAAAGAGTCCTTTAGACTTAAAGGATACTGGACAGAAGAAAGCCAAAGCACAGGAGGGAGGGTGTAAATTAAAGAAATGTAAGCATTGTCTCAAACAGAATCAGGATCCTTTTATGTATGCCAAAACAGCAGAGGGGCGAGAAAAGTATAACAAGCATGCTATACAGTCCCATCCTTCAGCTTATGTTCAGAATGTTAAATGTGAAATCTGTGGGTTTTCTTATAAATGCTGCCAGGCAGACGTGTATATGGAACATATAGTGAAGACACATGGTGTAGAATATGACTCGACAGTCTACCAAAAGAAAACATGTGATTTCGATGTATGTTAGCTGTATTACTATCTTTGATGTTTGAATAATTCTTATATCTATCAGATAACCAAAATTTATTTGAATAAAATCTAAATTCCATTGAAATATGTGGATTGTGTATTTTGTAATCTTTTTTTCAGTGTAATGCATGTATTTTGTGTTGTAGGATTGTGAATACTGGACTGTGTGTCAAGCTAAATTCTCAACACATCAAAAAGAAGTGCATTGTGAGAAACGCAGCATCTGTGATGTGTGTGGAGAAGCAGTCAAAAGCATCAAAAACCACAGAAAGACTCATAAAGACAGGCCCAGAATACCGTGTGAAATCTGCGGGAATACCTTTATCAGCGAGGCTTCTGTCAAGGTCTCTATCAATAAATTTTAACCCTTTGACTTTATGTGAAGTAAAAACACTGTAAACATGGATTTAGCAAAATATTTTTGTTAATTTTGACAGTTTTATTCGCTGTCAGATTGGTTTATTTATTTTCATCTATCTCATTTTAGGTCAAGGAAGTTTTTTTTACAGCAATCTTCGTTATGGGAAGGGAAATCGAGAGTTTTCCCTCATTTCTGATATTCGTCACATTGTGACAGGATATCATTTTGATATCCTTTCACACTGTGACAGGATATCATTTTTATTCAATGAATAAATTACAGTATTTCACGGGTAAAAATGTAATAAATAAAAGATACGAAATGGATTTGAAAACAAATACCATTTTGACTTTCAATCAAAAACATGCATACTGAATATGTACAGTGGACCTTCAGATATCCGGACGCCAGATATCCGGATGCTTCAGTATCCGGACGATTTTTCATCGGAACGAAATTTTTAAATGTTATATTGTCTTGTTTAACTGGTGATTCAGATATCCGGACGCTTCACATATCCGGACAAATTGACTGGGAACCAAAGCGTCCGGATAAATGAGGGTCCACTGTACTTGGTTTTGGCATGGACAACAATGCACTCATTGATGAATGATGGTAATTAAGGATTTCCATCCCTAATGGGACCAAATTCCCTACCCTTAAATGTCGATCAAGTACATAATACTCTGATACTATATTAAAGCATTTTATAGTGAAAAAGGATTGCCCACGAGAAAGTTTAAAAATTTTCAACAGAGTTTGCATTGAAGTCTTTGCTAATCTTTGCAGAATCATATTGAAAGAGTGCATGAAAAGAAATACAGGTCAGCAGGATTCTGCATGTATTGTAATGAGAACTTCATAGAGCGGTACAGATATTTCAATCATATGTTCAGAGAGCACAATGAGATTCCAAAAGGAATGAAGAAGTAAGTCTTGGTTGTCCACTTAGTATTTATTTAAGGAATGTTTTTAAGTTTTGTGTGAGTTATTGGTGTGTGAATCACACAGACTTGTCACGTAGGAATATTTCATGACGCGCGCAGACTTGAATGGGCAAGATAGTCCTAGTGTTAAAGAAATACAGTGCGCTGTACTTTTCAAATAATATGCTCTTTTTGTCTCGCCTGCGACGAATGTCGCGAAGCGAGACATAGCGACCATAGATTCCGTCGTCGTCGTCGTCGTCGTCGGCGTCCAACTTTTGGTTAACCCAAATTTCAAAGTTTTATAAACTGCAATAACTTTCTCAAATTTTATTCAGTCTTCTTGAAATTTGGACACAATATTCAGTATGGATAAAAATTTATATCCCAAGTATGATTTTGAAAAAAAAAATTCAAATTTTTCCGTATTTTTTCCTTAAGTTGGACTTAGTTTTTTCATGATAATTTATGGTGAAGACCTATATTCCAGCAACTATAAGTTATAGGGATATGATAATTAGTCAGTGGATACATCATGGGTAACCACAAACGTCAAATACCAGAATTAGGTCATCTTGACCTACATTTTTCTGCATGAGTGACTTTGGTTAAATTTTTGGTGGAGGTCCATATCTCAGCATCTATAACTTATAATGGCATGATGATTTGTCATTGTACAGGTTATAAGTAACCAACAACATCAGTACCAGAATTAGGTCATTTTGACCTACATTTTTCTGCATGAATGACTTTGGTTAAATTGATAATGGAGGTTCATATTTCAGCAACTATAACTTATAGTGGCATGATAGTTAGTCAGTGGATACATCATGGGTAACCACAAACGCCTGTACCAGAATTAGGTCATATTGACCTACATTTTTCCGCATGATTGACTTTGCATAAATTTATGGTGGAGGTCCATATATCAGCAACTATAACTTATAGTGGCATGATAATTTGTCAGTGGATACATCATGGGTAACCACAAACGCCTGTACCAGAATTAGGTCATCTTGACCTACATTTTTCCGCATGAGTGACTTTGCATAAATTTATGGTGGAGGTCCATATCTCAGCAACTATAACTTATAGTGGCATGATAATTTGTCAGTCTACACATCATGGGTAACCAACAATATCAGTACCATAATTAGGTAATCTTCACCTACATTTTCTGCATGAATGACTTGATACATATACAGTGGATTTGATTTCAAAATGCAAGTTCAAATTATTGCGACTCATAACACGTTGCAATATTCGCAATAATAAAAACATCACAATAATTTGTGAATTTACAGGGTATATGTATATATATATAAATGCCAATATAATCGCCAAGGGATTAGATATTAAGTCAGCTGTTCCATTTCTTTATTATTGTATTTTTGAGTTATTCCTTCTGAAATGTCAATAAATGCTTCAGTTTATCAGACAATCATTTCTTACTAACCACAGCGACAGCAGGCGAGACACAGGGTTGCGGGCAACCCTTACGTACTTTTTTTTTTCTTTCATCGGCCTTTTAAGAAATAAACAACAATGTTAAAAAGTTCTCTGGGAAATGAAAGTTTAGTTGGTCACATGATCAAATCCTGTGAAGGCTGAAGGGCTTCTCAGTAGATTTGATCACATACCAACTAAAATTTCATTTCACAGTGAACTTTTTAACATTGTTGTTTATTACTTATATTTACATTTGAAACAATTACATTTTGAGTTAAATTGTATTTATTACACGAACAGGCCAACGTAGTGCTATGTAGTGATGTGCAATAACCTAGAAATTGTTTGGTCAAAATATCACATCGCTCAGGATCCGATTGCACTATGACCTCTCTCCCCAAATGAAATTCACACAGAATTTAACTATTTTCTCTTCAATAGGTTCATCTAAGAAAGATATATGCAAATGTAAATATATAAAATTGTATGATGAAATTTTGATAGATCATAATAGCTAAATCAGTGTGTGAGAATACAGTTTTACCTTTTAACTAGTGCATCTTCAGTTATCAGACTCGGAGGACAAGCCCCCTATAACACTGCATTATGTTGTATGTATATACATAAGTAACTCTCCTGGCTGTGACTTGATGAGAATACTTCATCATTTTGTAGGTATCAATGTTCCCAGTGTGACTTTGTGACTTACCAGATTGGTCTGTTGAAAACTCATGAGTTGAGACACAAAGAGCTGAAAGGTATCGTATAAAATATATTCATCATTATACACAATGGTCAATGACAATACAGTGTATAACTAGGTGTACCTGTGTGTCTGTACTGTCACTTTTTGGGGTGACGAGATGGGGGATACATTCTCATCAAGTTTAGATATTCCTTGGTGATGAAGTGTTGGGATGTTTAAATCACTTTTTCTGTGTGATGAATTCCCATGACTCTTAGCTTACTTTTGTATTTAGGTGTGCAAGTTTCTTGATAATCTTTTGTTAAGAGATATTTGGTGAGCATTGTAGCCCATGAGCCTCTTTTTTCTATTCTATCTCCAGATGAACTGGGAAGACAAAAAAAATAAGAATTTATTTCAGTCTTTAAAATTTGTAAAGAAAACAGAAATTTAATAATAATACATGTACTGTCTGTTGTATGATTTAAAATTTCTTGCTCTTTATAGGATTGGAAATAGAACGACCCTACAAATGTAACGTGTGCGGAAAAGCATTTCTTACCAAATCTAATTGCAATATCCACAGAAAGCGGCATGGTAATAAGTTAATTAACAATGTTTTAAATCTTTCCAATATATTACATGTATAAGTAACTATATAAACATGTACATGGTTAATTTTTATTAGGATTTGTTACAAGGGGATTGCATACATGTAAATATTGGAGATTAGAAATGCTCAGATATCTTGTATAGCAAGATGTCTGTGAAACTCAAAGATGAATGTCATGTATTCTTCGGTATACTGTAAACTAACTTTTATTTGCGGCGACTTTATTTCGCGGTTTAACAGGCATAAACTAGTTTGCGACTAATAATTTTCAATCAAGCCGTTTTTGGAAGTGTTTTTAATAGAAAAAGAGACTTTAAGAACCCGTTCACAGCAAGAAATATTCGCGATGACTTGGCTATTGCAAACCTCGCGAAAATTTCTCGCACGCGAATAAAAGTTGGTAACCAGTATATGACTGTGAGGTATTGTTTAATTAACAATGTTAATTGACAATAACTGAGGTTGAAGTTAAAGAATAAGGTACAGTTTGGGGGTTATTGTGCCCTATAAATTTAATTGTCTTAAAAAGTTATGTAAATGGCTTCAACAAGAGTTGAGTAGATGAATATGTTGAATCATGAAAGAATATAGTACGAAGGAGGACCACTCTGGAAATATGACGTCATTATAATTTGGTACATTTCTAAGTTTTATGCAACAGAGCCTCAGAATGACTCATTTCTGTGCTTATTTTCCTTTAAGAAATAGTGTCTGCCACCGTCGCCCACTTCACTTTTTGGGTATGTTATGTAAACTGCTTTGTAAAATCACACATTTCAAAATCTTTGTGGCTGACGGTGACAAGGTATGTTTTCTCGACTGAAAGAAAATTCCACTGAAAATTGATGTCTTCTGCAACTTTTAAAGAAATACAGGAAAAGTGCACGAATTAATGATGTCACAATTAGCATTTAGGAGGTCATATGTGAAAAACATTTTCTTAATGCATGGAATTCCTACAATTCAGAAAGAATGAATTTTAATTTCTAGTATCACTTTCATATTTAGAAAAATATAGGGCTTTATTTGTATTGACATTGTACCTTGTTCTTTACATTCAACCTTGATATTGTCCTTTTCATTTTCAGTCAAACAAACCTATCTACAATGTCACTATGATGGCTGTGCTAAAGTGTATCGGAGAAAACGAAGTTTAGAAATCCATATCAGAAATATCCATGAGGTAAGAATATTACAACACACACACAAAGGAACACACTCCCACTCAAACACAGAGGTAAGCATATTACAACACACACACAAAGGAACACACTCCCACTCAAACACAGAGGTAAGCATATTACAACACACACACAAAGGAACACACTCCCACTCAAACACACACACACACAAATTGACCGGGGGTAACACACGATTAATTTTCGCGATAAAGCCTATTTAGATTCTCTTTTTAATAGACACATAGTCTTTAAGAACCTGTTCGCGGCGAGAAATATTCGCGATGATGAGGCTCTCGCGAAATTCGCGAAAATTACTCGCACCCGAATAAAAGTTGGTTTACAGTATTACAACACACACACAAAGGAGCACACTCTCACTCAAACACAGAGGTGAATGTTACCTCAAACTTTTATATATCTCTCAAATACCACATATCAAATAGAGTCCATTAATTCTCTTTTACTTAAGGAATTTTTACCTCATCAGATTTTTTCAAGGTTTTGTTTTGTCCTATTTGGTTTAAAAAACTGGAGTTTCATTGTAAAAAGATAAACAGTCAAACTTGTCTTAGCAACCTCCTGTATATTTAACGACTTCCTGTCATATGCAGTTGTGAAACCCCCTAGAATTTTATCATATTTTTTTTTCCTGCATTTAGTGAGTCCCTGTGTAATGTGACATGCCACTATCATTTTCTATCATTTGACAGTTTAAGTCCCTGAATTTAGCAAATTTTAGCTCTATCTCTGCATCAACAGTGATAAATGTTTATTTATTGCCCATTCTCCAAGTTTCTTTAATGCATCACTGTCCAGTTAATATAATATGCCAGGGCATCAAAGATAGTGGGAAATATGGAATAATTTGCATAACAAGCAAAGTCCATTATGTATAAATATCCTATGTCTTCCACAATTGTTAATGTCCTATGCTAACTAAACAGTGGTTCCTTATATTTCCATTTTATTGTGAAATAAAATTGTAGATTTGGATTTTTAAAAATAAACACAAATAGATTTAAATTACATGAGGCCTTTCATGTCAATTTCAATAGTCCTCACCCACTGACATCAAACACAAAGACATCCGCATGAGATATAAATACATATTAGGCCTCCTTAGCTTCATAAAACTTAGATGAGCTCACTTTTGATCTAAGTCTCACTTTTCCACCATATATTCCTTTGATAATAGTGAGACTGAGATCAAAAGTGAGCTTGTCTAAGTTTTATGGCCCCCAAGGCCTAACCTATCGATTTGCCTAATTTACATTCTGGTAGAATTATCAAGAAATCAATTCCACTAACTTTCAAAACATTAATGACTGCATGAAATTGGTGTCAAGTATAGAAATTTATTATCAAGAACATAATAAGAGTACTATACATGTGATTTAACTGTGAAATGTTTTTGACAAGAAATATATAAAACTTGTGCATGTTTGTGCTTAAAAATCTTTGCATTTGTAAGTGCTTTGTTTTTCTTTTAGGGGCATAATCTTGCCTTCAGTAGTTTTTATCTATAACAGTGTCATAAAAGTGTGGAAAAAAACTATTTTGACTTTTCAAATCAAAAAATAAATTTATACCTAACACAAAATGGATATAAAAACAACATGTACAAAATAATATTTATTAAATGTACAAATTAATATTCATTAAATACAATTATTCATCAAAATTGTATTACACTTCAGTATTTATGCATATACTTTGAAAATTGCTAAAATACGATTCCATACTACTGTTAATCACTTTTTATTCGTGAGAACTTTATTTTCGCGTAATTACGCGAGACGGTATGCTCGCGAAAATTTCATTCTCACATATTATAGAATTCCTTAAGACTATATAGAGCAATAGCCACAATTCGTTAAAATTTTGTCTCGCTAATAAAGAGTCAATGACTATCTCCCAAAAATAAGGTGTTGCGAAAATTAAGTGATCTACAGTATATTTAAATTGGTATATATCTGATACAAGAAGATTTTTAAAATGGTGATTAAAAAATAATCTTTTTTTAGGTTGGAAAGATATATCAGTGTCATGCCTGTCCGTACAAGTGTAATCGTCAAGGAAATCTTGTGAAACACATTCGCAGCATTCACAAAGAAGAGGTATCTACTCGTGATTCTCGACGAAAAGAGGCCATGTTGTCAGGAAAAGGGTACCATGAGGCAGTTGGTCAAACTCTGAGACAGGTTCAGGGCCCAGGAAAGAGCACCGAGGGGGAAAGTTCTCTCTCCGAACAAAGACATTGGACTCTGAGTAATGAGGGAGCTAACTCTGATCAGGACAGTAGGGGAACAGTCCAGTCTGATGAGGAGGACAGTAGGGGAACAATTCGCTCTGAGGAAGAGGACAGTAGGGGGTCAGTTCACTCTGATGAGGACAGTAGGGGGTCAGATCACATTGAAGAGGAGAATAGTAGGGGGTCAGTTTACACAGACCAGGACAGTTGATGCAAATGGGGAGAGGGGGCAGTTAATTCTTAGCAGAAGGACAGTTTGTACTAAATCTAAATTAGGGGGAAAGGGGAGGGGGAAGTGTACTCTGATTAAAGAGACAGTCTACTCTTATCAGAAGGACAGTTCATACTGAATGGAGGGTGGGGGCAGTTCACTCTGAGTAGGGGGACAAATCATACTGAAAAGGGGGATTAATTCTTTGGCAGAAAAGTTCACACTTAAGTGGGGGGAAGGGGGGCAGTTCACTCTAATCAGGAGGACATATTACACTGATTGGGGTTGAGGGTAGTTAACTCTGAGCAGGGGGGCAGTTCAATCTAAGCAAGGGGACAGTTTAACCCGAACAGGAAGACAGTTCATTGCTCTGAGCAGGGTATAGCTCGCTGTGAGCATTCACATTGAGCAGGGGACAGTTCACTAAGAGCAGAGGACATCTTACTGTAAGCAGTGAGATAATTCACATTGAGCAGGGACAGATCACTCTGAGCAGTAAGACAATAGGAGAACAGTTTACTCAAATATTTGAATGTTTTCATAGTCAATAGTGTATAGACCTTAAAAGGTGCATCTAAGAGATGAGTGCATGAAGTTTCTGTATTTTCTATTCAGTAGCCAGGTGAAATATTTTTCAGAGGCAAGCTCCTGATAGCTCTGTTTTATATTATGCTACACCTCATAGGAAATCAAAAGTATTCTTTGAGAATATGCACTGAAAAGCCAGGTATGTTTCAGAGCATGTAACTGTGTTTTAAAATTTGGGGGGGGGGCTCTGTGTTATTGGTGAAATCTATACAGTATAACAAGAGATAGAGTGACATTAAGGTGTATCATCTCTGAGAGAATGTTTGTTTGAATAAAAGTATGTTCTGTATTTCCTAGTTTTTGTTGTCTCTAAGCATTTCATTTTATCAGATTAGCATATTTTTTATTTGATCAAGGTGAAAGTTTGAGCCATAAATAGGTCCCTGATTTGACCATAATTATTTTTAATTTTTTTATTCATGTAAGTTAATATTCTTCTTTCTAAGGCACTTGATGTTTTAACCTTTCTTTACATAAATAAAAGAAATTCACAAAACTATTATATTACAAAAAAAAAAATTCACTCTTAATTATCTCTTCAAGTTTCCCTTTCAAACTAAAATTTAATGCTTTAAATTAAAGGATTCAAATTCTTGAAAAAAAAAATACTGCGGTAATTCAAAACATTGAGATAATATTTCATCATATTGAAAATATTGCAGATAATATTCCATCATATTCAATATCCTTCTGAACACTCGATTTAGACATACATATTCCAGCCCTTCCAACATTCCCCTCTGCTTCTAGAAGGTTCCCAATCGAGTGGGCCCCAGTAAAAACACTGAATACATCCTGTAAGTTGTACAGTTTTCGTAACTGTCCTTTTCACACGTTTTATTTGATATCTGAACTGAACTGAGTTTATTAATATGATCACAATTTTACAGTTGTATACAGAGAACATAAATGGTGACAAATAAAAAAACAAATTATAGCACGTGTGAGTATGAGGATATACAAATAGTACAATTAGAGATGTAGATCTTTACTGCATTCATGGAGCATGTTTTAGTGATTTTTTAAAATAAGGTATGCATAGTTTTCAATATTTCATGAAGAGTATGTGCAATAAAATCGATATATGTCCCCTTATACATATTGTGCAAGACTCCTTTTTAAATGACTATTATATACCATTCACTTATTCGAACATTTAATTGTTTGAAAAGTTAATAATGTACATTTCTTAGAACTTGATTATCATGTTTAATTGTATGTCTTCCTGTGAGAATAGAATTCATAATATTTATAAACGGAGGTACTCAATATCTGTTTCAAAATACAGATTGAACAGTGCTCAGTCTAAAAAAGAAAAATGAAATCGTGAAAGTTTAGGAGCCTAGTCCTGAGAAGTAAGCATCCCTGTTAACAGGTCACGCCAGAAGTGAGCCTACAAACTGAAGTTATCTGAAATTAATTTATTTACTGTAATGTTCAGACTCTCTACTCATCCACCCTTTTTTCTCAGACAAGCCAGCTAAAGATCTAGGTACTCAATATCCAATAAATCTAAAGAATTGAATTAACATTTTTTTCTTTTTGAGTTGTTTGCTACGGTTACCTTAAAAATTACCTAATTTCAGAATCAATAGAGCATAAAAGAGCGTTAAATTTGCAACACCAACATATGATAATTATTTTTTCCCTAGCATTTTTGGATGCCTTTAAGAGAGAATTTTTTTTAAAATTGCACTTCCTTTCTCTCAAACTAAAGAAACCTCGTGTTGATATTTTGAAATATGCATCTGTGACATCAGTCTGGGATGTTATTGGTTTTACTATTCAGTAAAGTTTTATAAAAAATCAGAATGTCTGCGTCTTATCTTATGACATTGGACAAAGATATGCATACTAAAAATATCATCATTTCAAGCATTTTTTGTTGTTGTAAATACTTCGTATTTGATGAAAGCATGATAACCGTTTTTCAGTACTTTCGGTACTTTGATTATACTTGTAGATCGACACATATCATGATTAATTGCATAGGTGTCGGAACCGGATTGCGGATAGAAATTATATAGGCATTGAAAATTGGGATTACCCTTTTTGTTGGCTTAGCCCCCCACTTTCAATTAACCCCCCCCCCCTTTCAATTTGCTTCCGACGCCTATGCATTGAGCAATGATACAGTATGTATCACGAAATATTGATATGGATATCAAATATTTTTGTATTAATTTAAATGAACAAACCATTTCTTTACAAATAAAAATAATTTATTCAAAGAAGTTTTATGTTTGTTGTAAATTAAGTTAATTAACAAAATTATTTTACAAAAGTGGGGTCAATTATTATGTGTGATCTATTCTTTATGTATATACATGTATGTATTTTTTTCAATACATGTTTTAAGTGAATTATCCAAAATTACTCCGGAGCATTGGTACATCATTGGAAAATTTATTCAAGATTATGAAAAGAAAAAGTTCGATCAAACTGACATCCTATGGAAACATAATTAACTTCCATTTCCTTTTGCCTATATTTTCCAAATTGTTGTATTATATTTGGCATGATAAAGCATGTACTGCCAGTTTTGGTGAAAATTAGAGCTGAGGGTTATTTCTCCTTAAAAGATTTAAAATCTAATGGATTTACGATCAACACCTTCTCAGTTATTAACTGATTCACTGAACGCCTCTCATATCAGCTTATGTTCGCATTCCCCCGATGTTGAAAGTTTGTATAAATGTTACTAGTCTGTTGAGCAGTCTTTTAGAGCAAATATCACTAAAAGTATTACAGGCACGTAGCAACGGCGGGGGCTTGCCCCCCCCCCACTTTTTTCCCGAACAGTACATGTCTATTGAAAGGTCGGTTGCCCCCCCCCCCCCACTTCGTACCACAGTATAGTGATATCAAGGAAAATGTAGTATTGTTTGCCAAAAAATTGAAAGTTAAAGAAAGTTTGCTTTGAAAAAAGTTGGCCACTACCCCCCCCCCCCCCCCCCCCCACCATTTCACACCTATATACGAAATAGGATTTTCGAGTTTGGTCAATTTTTTTTTTTTTGCTTGTCAACTTTTACAGGTAAGTAAAAAAAATCTCTGATTGCCCCCCCCCCCACTTTCAAAAACGATGCTACGTGCCTGTATTATCAATCTCATGTTCTATATAGGGCCTTTCTAGCAAACTCAGAAAGAGAAAGCCGCTGAAACAGTTAATTTCAACTAATTTTGGCATATAGCGTCTTTGGTGAAGGGATGTGCAAAAATTATGATATTCATGATCTCATTTGAAACTGAGGTACCCCACTGAGAGAAGAAATTATGAAGTTCATGTTCCCTGTACCCTGAAGGATGGGACTAAAACCATTAAAAGTAACGCTATCTTTGAAAAGGGTCTCCCCCTGCATAGGCGTCGGAACCGGTGGGGGCTTGGGGGGGCTCAGCCCCCCCCCCTCCCACCTTTTTTCCAAATATATACATGTACTTAGTATACGCATTTAACATATCTCCGTAAGTTTAGCCCCCCCCCACTTTCCACAGATACGCCTTAGTATAGGTTAAAATTGGGGAAAGTGTTGGTGTTTGGAAGAAAATTTTTGGTACTGGAGTTCGAACCTACACCCTCCCCCTCCCCCCCCCCCCCCCCACGAAATAGGATTTTCGTGTTTGGGAAATAGAAATTTTCGTAATTTTCTCTTCTTTTTCTTTTTTTTTTTTTGTTTTGCTTGTCAGGTTTTTTTTGCAGGTACAAAAAATTTTTTTCTTACACTTAGCCCCCCCCCCCCACTTTCAATTTTGCTTCCGACGCCAATGCCCTGTACATTTAGCAGATAAACTATAGGCCGTGCTTGGTCGTGATGAGCAAGGGTGGCTCTTCCAAATTGTGAAAGGTTTGGCCCCGAGGTCAGCGGGTCTGGAGTTTGGGCAGGGCTCTGATGATCATGCAGTGAAACTTAATTTTTTTATACCCCCCGCTTGAAAAGTGGGGGTATATAGTAATCGGTATTTCCGTCCGTCCGTCCGTCCGTCCGTCTGTCCGTCCGTCTGTTACGCTTTGGGGTACCCATCTCTTATCCGCAACTCCTCTCATACCGCTGAATGAAATTTGATGAAACTTTCACAGAATCTTTATTACATATTGCCATTGTGCACCTCCTATTTTACTTTTTGATCCGACAGATATTTTGGGTTTCCCGGCCACAGGAAAAGATGGACTTTTTCACCAGTTATAACCAAATGGGAGGCGGGGGGTATCATTTAGTGAGCTCATCGCTCAGGGTACCTCTAGTTTTATTGAAAATCGTCTTAAATTTCTGCTCCTGGGTATACAGCAAACAATCAAACTAAGTGCATAGTTATGATTAGCATAATGTGCCAAAATTGAGAGACCAATGTCCGAGGGATTGCAACTGAAATTCTGATCAAGCACTTTTGTTTTGTCAGAAAGCTGATAATGACAAATGGGTACAGGTACAGACGTGGAGTAAATGGATCCTTTTTATTATTTGTTTCTGAGCAATAGACTAATTATTTTGTTGATCCCTGATCATCTGTTATTCCTCTTTCTTTTGGGCAATATATGTTGGATAATCTGTCAATTTATTTTTGTTTCATTTTATACTTCTGTGAATCTTAAATTTACACTAGCTGTTTTTAAAAATACATGTAGTAGCAATTAATTACCGGTAAATAAATTTTTAAAAAGTAATAAGCACACAAAAACAAAGAGAATTATAAAGATCAATTGGTATAATTCAAAAAGACTGTTGTGTTTTATTTAATTTCAATTTTGATATTATACACTACAGTTCTATAATTAAAATAAAGGTGAAGGGGGTATAACCGGCCTTTTAATGTACATTTTCATAGCAACAGTAAAACACTGTTACTCACTACATGTTTGTAAACCATTAATTGGATGTAAATGTTGCTTGGTTTTCATATGAACTGTCCAAAAGTCTGTTAAAGAGCTATTCTGGCCTTTGTAAGAATAAACAACCAGAAATATAAACGTTATATATATGACTTGTTACTGCAATAGACACAATCCCGGAAATACGATTACCGTGCATAAATATTTTAAATTTAGTGATAACACTATAGTTCCTGTATGAATTCGATTGCAGGAGATTAGACTCTTTGGAGGTAATTGAGACAATTCTTAGGCTATAGGAATGAGGATGTAATATATATGTACCTTATTGATAAAAAAAAAAGCCTGCCTGCCTCATTGAATTCTGATTTTTTTGGCCTGAGAAACAATTGATTAATTTTTTGGGGAGCCTAAAGCCCTAAACATTGGTTAAAATGTGAAGCTTTACAGGACATGCAGGA